GGGTAGTATATAAGGTCTGCCATTCGGTGACAAAGGTATCTGCTCTCACAAGCATCTCAACTACTTTCAAAATGTTCGCCAAGATGTAAGTTAACTCTCAGCTCTCAACGCTCATATGGTCTTCTTGTTTAGTGCTCTTCTCGCTCTCGTCGCCGCCTGCATGATCTCTACTGGAACCGAAGCCCAATACTTGGCCTCCCCAGCTTACGGATACGCCGCTGCCTACCCATCATACGCCGCTTACTCTCCATACTACTATGGAGCTTACGCCGGATACGCCGCCTACCCAAGCTACTACGGATGGGGAAGCAACAAGAACGGAGCCCCAGCTGCCAACGGAAACGGACCATCAAACCCATCTGGACCATCCCTTACCAACAACCAATAAGAAGATCAACCGAGATTGCTTGTATATAACTGCAACCCAAGCATTTCATGCCATACAACGACAATAAACGTCTTTTCTTTTATTTTTTTTCAATCTTTCCATACATCTTACACTCAGTCGCAATCTTCAATATTAGAAACTAAGTCGTTCGAACATAAATTAGTACGTAATCATATCAGACTGGTAAAAGGAAAACACTTTTAATGTTAATAAGTTTCGATGCACTGAATAGAGTGACAACCAGTGAAACCGAGTAGAATACTATGCTGTACTTCATTGTTCACTTCCCAATTCATGTTGGTATGGCTTGAAAAGTGAATCAGTATAATTAGATAAGATCAGGAAGAGTTTCAGAGGCTGAAGCTCAAGTCTGAGGGAGCACTTGAAGAGGCTCCTTTATATGGGATTGCGTATATGCTTGGATAAATGAACGTACGTCGGCTAGCTGTGAGCGGGGCGGTCGCACTCCTCATGCTTGGCGTAAAGCCAAGAAGAAAATGTCGATAAAGGACCAGCTGGCTTGCTTTCCATATATGTGCATAAGGCTTCTGCCTGAAGTTTCAGAAATGATGTTTACTAGTTCATAAGCGTTGATTTTAAAATTATCAAATTAGTAATTAGTGTATTAGCATGATATGTAAGGCTTCATACGGGAATTAATTCTTTGAAAAGCTTCCAACTAAGCTTTCTCCTTTGATACTCATCTTTATTCATCCTTTTAAGGTTAATTTTCTCTTTTTTTTAATTTTAAAACAAAAATGGCGGCACGGTACTATGAACAGAATACGAGGTATGGTTCTACTTAACCACAAGTTACTGATTCTCATTGCAGTGGTATGAATTTCGATCGCTTTCTTGATCGGTTTGATGAGACAACTCTCGTCACCATGAAAAGACATTATTGGACGGCGAAGCAACTATTAAGAACTAAATTGGGAAAGAAGGTGATCAATTCCATTGTTTTTACATCTCTTATATGTGAATGAAGGAGGATGAACATTTGAAAGCGTCTGATGCAGAGTTGGACTCAAAACTCACATTATTTCATTCCGTTCGGGACACTTCGGAAAGTTTATTGGCTTGTATCGAGCAGTATCAAGGATACCTTCTAGGTAATCAGTGCTAAACAAACAAATGCTCTATTCATCAATACAGACACTACTCTCGTAGAGAATGAACTAGGAAAGTTTTTGAAAGTCCAAGGAAGAAAAGAGAATCGTGATGAATCAGCTACAATAATGATTGCTGTAGGTAGATGTCTCTTACTCAGCAGTCATCAAAGAGCTGCTATACGTCAACCGATATTCAGGTTTCACTCTTTCATTCACAAATCAGTCATTCTTCTATATTTCTTTCCAGATTTTATCAAGAACTTCATGTTTTTGCTGAAAGGGCAATAGCCGATTGCACACAAACAGTAGATGCTGTTGAACGTGCTCGTCTAGAATACAGAGGCAGTTTACTATGGATGAAAAAAACAAGTGAAGAGGTAAGCACGTGGTTACGATGTCATATCGAAATGTTTATGCTAATTTCAAAATTGCTACCCGTGAAATACGAACGCGCGCGCACTTCACGCGTCATTTCTTTTTGAACTTTCTCATTTTGCGAACGGGCTTCCCTCCATGATGATTGATTGTATGTTTAATTGAAATATTTGAAGTTGGATCCTGACACTGATCAACAGTTGGATAAATTCCGTGAAGCTCAAACGGCAGTACGTGCAAATAAGGAGCGATTGGACAAATTGAAATTAGACACCCTACAAAAAGTATTTGTTTTTTAGTTATCTTTGTTTATTTAAATCTCATTCTCAATTAAGGTTGATCTTTTATCTGCTTCGCGTTCCAATTTGCTGTCACACTTGCTAGGCAAATATCTGGAACTCTTGATAACTTATTATGAGAAAACATCAAGAGCATATCAAGCATTGGCATCTAATCTTTCTCACTTTCAACATTACGAGTTCGATATTCCAGTTGTCAGTTGCGTATTGTATTCCAAAAAACATATATCATATTGCAGGGACTCGGAAAATCGACTAAAACACCAAAAGGCAAGCAGAGGAGTCAATCTGATTCTGATGATAAGAGAGAAAAACAGAATGTTGAAAGAGAAGGAAGTTGCGAAGCACCAGCCAGAATATCAGAAGAACCATCTAATGTCATCGGAAAGTGAGTATTATTATTCTTCTTCTATCATAATAAGCCTACTTTACAGTTTATTGAATTTGGATGATCAGTCGCAAGATAGTCTTCAGAAGTACTTCTTTGGACGAGATAGTCCTCCTCCATTAAATGATAATTCTTTGGATGACTCGATGAGTAATCAGTATACAGGAGTTGCTAGTACAGCAAATGATGAAGAAGAAGACCCTAGTGAACTGAACAATCGAGTTGATAGTCCATTAGGTCTGCCACAAGACGACCTCACGGAAGAAGAAGATGTTAGCAGATTATTTAAGGTATGGCTCTCAGTCTCTTTCTTCTTCTTGTGGTTTTGAAGTTCTTTAAAGAAAGAGAAAGTTTTAACAAAATTTTTAATCTCCTAAGCCGGTTCGGTTAATTGGGCTTCAATGAAGCGTGAAGGCAAACCCCTTAACTATCTGTTGTGGCATGTTAAGATAATTAACAATACACATGTCTTGATAGATAGTGAACATATACTATAGAGAAATGAGTTATCATTCTCCCCACGCTTTCAACACATGAAGTGCTCGAACTGTTGCTTATTGTGAAATACGCTTCGTAGAGCAGACGAACAGAACGGTTGAACGTTTATCCCAATCTATTTATTCTTGCTTTTGATGGATTTCCTTATATGGCTTTTGTCCATCATCAATGAGCATATGGCTTCTTTATTTTTCTTTTGAAGTATTCTATCCTGACAAACCCATTCTTGCATTGAATATGAAAAGAAAACAATTCACTTTGGTGAAAACTGATGTTACGGAAACGAGGAGAACGTGAAGAAAAGCTTTTTTTTTTTCCAGAAAATGAAGATTGGTCCCTTAGCTCCGTCAAATGCTCTTCTGGACATTGGAACGGCTGAAGTTCCCCGTTTAGCTCCACCACCTGTGTCGAGTTCTTTTTCCTCTGCCACATTGCTTCCCCTGTCAAGTGGTAAGTCAATAAGCGAATCGTTTATCTGATTTTGTTAGAATCTTCTGTTTTCTGTTCCTTTTTCTGAGTTTATAAGCCTTGAAAGAACAGTAAGCGAATGAATGGCCAGGTTGATAAATAGTTATCGACGTGACTACGTCTGAGAGAAAAGATCAACTATAGAATCTGGCGTGTTTGAAAACGAAAGAAAAAAGATGAAAAAGAGCACGCGTTGAGTGAAGGAGCCTAAAAACCTATATCTCCACATTCCTGTTGTTGAATAGTTTTCTTGCCTCCCCATTCACTTCATTTTTACTTTTGGAACAGTCAAGAAGAAACAATTGTTAATCGATAATGCTTTTTTTTGTCTTAATATCTAACGTTTATACTCAGCATTCTTGTTTTTCCTTCTGATTGAACAATAACAACTAGTGGAGTGCAGTCATTTATGGAAACGAATATCTTTTAGTGTCTATTGGCATCTCATATTCGCTTATCTCACATTAATTTATGTCCCCACTCTGATTTTGTGACGTAATATGTTTTAGAAGCTGAATGTAAACTAAGTTTTAAGAGCTCGAAAAGAAGGCTAATAAGCTAAATCTTGTCAAGCCATAGCATACTATATAGTTTTGATACTAAAAAGATTTTAAAACTTTTCATATAATATATATAGATATATATATATATGTTGCATCCATATCTATATAGTGAGTATGCTAGGCTGTGTGAAAATAATTTGCATTTGCGCTATCTGGCTGAAAAGAGTGAATTGTCTTTGGCGAGTAATAAAGCTGGAACAATCTTTGAGTGAGAAAGGAAACATAGACAAATATAGATTCTCACTCAGATGCAAATATCAACTATGAAAGTTTTTTTTTGTTTATTTTCTCTCATTCCATAGGTTCTGATCTTCTTGATGATCTTTTCTCTACAACGCAATCCTCAAAACCAGAAGGAGCTACGGGTTCATGTACTACCGATGGTATGCAATTCTCTCCATCAATTTCCTATTTCTAATCTTCTTATTCGTTTGTTAGGTAGCAGCATAATGCATCTCCTGAATGCGACTAAACAGCCAGAGACTAATTTCCCTAATCCTTTCCAGGGTGAACCATCGGTTTGTTTCGTTTCAATCATAACCAATTAGATAGATTACTACTTCTCTTTCACTCTCTTGCTGACAAACTTAAGTGGACATTATTTGCAGGAATGGGATCTATTGTTATCACAGTGTGATATCCAACAGCAGACCAATGATCTCCTCTAACTTAAATTTTGTAACGCAAAATAACAAATAAAAAATTTCAGTAAAAAAAAAAAAGAAAAAAAAACGAAAATTTATTAAAAAGAGGTAACAATGAGTTGGAATCTTAATTAAGCTCTGTGTTTTTCCACTTCAGTTTGAGCAATAGTCGGAGTAAAAACAGATGAGATTAGCTCTTCTATGATGCTCCAATCCGGGAAAAACAATCTGCGACTTGTCTTGGCTCATTTCCAAACAGATCTGAACGACAAACTAGCTATATAACAATTAACAACCACATATTTGGCCTCTTATTAGGTTTTGAGAAGTCATCTAACATCAGCATCCAAACAAGCACACTCTAGTATATTGCCAAACTTTCAGAACGTTCTCTCCTCCTTCTTCTCATTCCTCTTCTCCTCCTTCCTCCTTCCTCCTTCTTCTCCTCTTCTTTTCTAATTTCAAAGGTCAGCGTAGTATGTAATCAAACTCATTCTCTCATCATTCCGCAAAAAAATCACATAAATGAAGTAGTTTAAACATAAAAACTGCTGTTTCAGGTCCTTATTACTCTCTTATCATCGATTATAAATAGATTCTTGTCTTATCGTCTAATCGTTTGAAACTTCTGTCCTATATGTGTGTGATAATTCAGTTATTCTGGCTCTAAGCTTTTAGAGCAACTAACGTCAACGTCGTCGTCTGTGCATTCACTTCTCTCTTTCTAAATTGCAGTTTTCATTTCTCACTTTGCAATCTCTCTTTTCGGTCATAAATCACAACTCAAATATCACCACTGCTCTACATAATCTAGCATACTTAACAAAAATAGACTTACTTCCGATAAAACCACAGAAATTATCATATAATGTGGACAGGTTTGCGAAAAATATTCTTGTAAAACAGTATCGTTGACGTTGCTGCGCGAGTTCATCTCGATGTGTATAGTAGACGTTGAATTGAGACCATCATCAACTTCATCTGTTTGAATGTAGTAATCGTTGACAACTTTCTGAAACTCATCGTTGTTGTTCGAAACGGTGAGAGCCATCTTTCGCATGATAAGGAGTTACTAACCTCGCAGTATGTGCAGCTTCTCCAGCTGGGTGAAGCGTACATGGAGACAACAAGTAGTAGTAAGCAAATCAAGCGAAGCATTATATGATGAAGCAGTACTCTTTCAGTTATGTTAATGTCTCCCTCTTTTATAGTTAATTAGAGAGGAAAACATATTTTTTCGTACTCCGAAGTACCATTATGATAAGACCTTCCTATTAACACAATAACGGAAAACTGAGCCTTAGTTGGTATACATTTCATTTCCTTGTTTGCTAACATATCAATCCATTCAACTTACTGCTAAGACACCGTTTTAATATTTGCTTAAGTGGGTGTTGCATAATAATCTGTGAAAACTGGTAAGGCTTCTTGGGCATTTCGCTCTCTCTCGCTCCGAAATATGCCATTCTCAGCTGAAAATATTAAAGGGCTGGCCTTATTGGTCCCGTCCCGATTTCAAATTAGAGCGACGCGAGATGCGCGCGGAGACGTCTCTCATCCTTTCGTATTTTGAATCAGCATCTAGCTTTATTCATATTTTTGTTTTAATTATTTCCATCACTTTGAGCATTTAAATTTATTTCATCCTAAAACATTCCAAGTAGTTTGGACAATCATTTTCGGAGTTGATTGTTGTTTGTCTTATGCATTAGTTGTTGCTTTTGTCTTGGCAGGTTGCGAAATCGCATTGTTGGTATCTCCAGCTCTCAAATGAGAGTCTTTGGAGTCGATCGCACGTTTTAGGAAAGCGACGCGTTTCTATATCGATCTCTTCTGCTGATAATATCCTCCCCTTGGAGGTGTTAACACTCTTGAGTAGTTAATTGCACGAAAATATGATAAACCGTCTGGGCACACTCCATTTTTTGTTTCCAATTAATTAGAATTGGCATCTGTACGTATGATTCGTGTTTTCTGTATTTTCTTGTTATTGTCTTGATGTCTCCAGCCATATTGAAAACAATCGATATTTGCTTTTTTCCAGTATGGTTATGGAGGTTGACGAGCCAGCGGGTACTTCCATGGATACGTCTGAACCATTTGAGAATGGAGTTGATTGGAGGTTCAGTCAAGTAAAAGGAAATATAGATAGCGAAGATTCTCACACAGAAGGTATATACCTCATTTGCAAAAAAAATTATTATTGTTTTGAACTTTCAGCTGACATAATTTCGTGTGTTGAATTCTCCCATGACGGCGAATATTTAGCCACCGGTGATAAAGGAGGACGGGTAGTAATTTTTCAACGTGATCAGAGTGTAAGTTTTTGTTTTTTCAATTTTTTTCTGGCCTGGTTATTTTGGAGAGTTATATATATAAAATGATTGGATTAGCTTCTAATAGGGCAGGATTAACAGGAGAAGTGATTATATATGTAGAGCAAAGATCCAGTAAACGAACCTTAATCGATTTTGCTTCTTTACTAGGATGAACATGAAATTCTCATCTTCATCTCATCTATAGCTTTTCTGCATCTCACCCCTACTTCCTAAATCCAAAACCATTATATTCCTCCTTCATATGCTAGTATTGTCCACAGTGTTGCAATAAATTTTCTATTTTTGTAGGGAAAGTATGTGAATGGATCACGGTCTCGCGAGTATAATGTCTATTCAACATTCCAATCTCACGAACCTGAGTTCGATTACTTGAAGTCTTTAGAAATTGAGGAAAAGATTAATCAAATTAAGTGGCTGAAGAAGAAGAACGCAGCCAACTTCATTCTTTCCACAAATGGTATGGTTTTCTCGTTTACACAACGAGATGGTTTGCTCTTTCAGATAAAACCGTCAAGTTATGGAAAATCAGTGAGAGAGAGAGAAAAGTAGAAGACGAAGCTTGGAATGTACCTCGAGTTGGAAGGTTAGTGTTATTGGAAAGAACGGCTTTTGCATTAAACTCGTTCAAGGTTCCGCGGAGGCTTGCAAATCCCCCAAATTGTTAATATGGAATTAATAGTTGAAGCCAGTCCGAGAAGAGTCTATGGAAATGCACACACTTATCATGTTAATAGTATTAGTGTTAACTCTGACCAGGTAAGCTTGTCGAAAGGATATTCGAGTTCTAAGAAGCATTTCTTCAGGAAACGTTCCTATCGGCCGATGATCTTAGAATTAATCTGTGGCATCATGAAATTACAAATGAATCATTTAGTAAGAGAGAAAGATAGAACAGCCATAGTATCAACATCTGTTTCAGATATTGTTGATATTAAACCTGTTAATATGGAGGAGTTGACAGAAGTAATAACTGCAGCTGAATTCCACCCTCGTTCTTGCAATTGGTTAGTTCATTCAGAGTAATCTCCTTATAAGCTCATATCTTTTCAGGTTTGTATATTCATCCAGTAAAGGTTCTATTAGATTATGTGATATGAGAGATCGTGCTTTATGTGACTCGCATGCTAAATGTAAGTTTCAATATCGTGTCTATCTGACAACTTCATCTTTCATTTCAGTGTTTGAGGAGGCAGAAGACCCAGATACCAGATCTTTCTTTTCTGAAATTATCGCTAGTGTTTCGGATATAAAATTCTCACATGATGGAAGATATCTATTGACTAGAGATTATTTAACGGTTAAAGTACGCAGCTCATATTCACATCAAATGACTCATTTTCTCTCTTTGCAGGTTTGGGATTTAAATATGGAAAGTAGGCCCATCGAAACCTATCCTGTTCACGAGCACTTACGAACAAAACTTTGTGCATTATATGAAAATGATTCCATTTTTGATAAATTCGAGTGCAGTTGGAGTGGTGATGATAAGTAAGTGATACGAATCTCCAAACGGTTGTCCAACTATTTATGCTTCAGACACATTCTGACTGGTTCTTATCATAATTTGTTCCGTACCTACGCCAGAGGAAATGTTGAGTCAAACACGTGGGAAGCACGTCCTCAAGAACCCCACTCTATACTGCGCACTCGTCGAGTAACAACATCGACAGGCCGGAAACGTACCATTCGAGAAGTGAGTTCAGGGAAGAAGCTGCCAGATTCATTTGAGCTGTCTTGTAGGTACCGTCCACGGACGAAGATTTAGCACATGATTCGCTGGACTTCAATCGAAAGATATTGCATACAGCTTGGCACCCGAAAGAGAACATCATTGCTTTGGCAGCCACAAATAATCTCTATATCTTCTCTGACAAATAAGGGATTCCTTGATCGTCAGGAGTTGTGACAGGCATGATTAATGTTGAGTTGATCTCCTTTGTATTTAAGCCGAGTTGTCCCCATTGTCAAATTTTCTTTAATAGTTGAATATTTTATTAGATTAAAAATATGCTCCCTCCTAGATGGACAATCCCTTCTTTTGCTCTTTAGTTTGGTATTTGCGAGTAGTGGGGGAGAGCGTGTAATATGCAATTCGAGTTTGTAAAATATTTCACTAGAGGTTATTTTGAAATATTCCTGTAGACAAGCGCGTGGTACTGGCACCCGGTACTAACATGGTAATTAAAGTATCCTTTCCTGACCGGTCATCTTCCATTATACTATACACAAAGTTGCAGAGAGAAAAAAGTACTCGTTTTTTTTGTACTATAATGAGACTTACTTATCTTGTCCAATTCCTATGTTGTCTCTCTTTGAGTTTTGAATGGATCATATTTCTTTATATATTTATTATTGCTTACAACGATGTGTTTGACGAATAAAAGGACGTAAAAGCCTGACAAGATTCTAAACACGGAATGCCTTGAGACTAGATTTTCTCTTGCTGATCACGCTCAGTTTTCAAATGTTTTAGCTTAGCAGTATTATCTCATATTTCAACTTGAGCAACAGCTGAAAGCTCACCACACAATAAGTTTGAATATATGCAAAGCAATGAGAACTAATGAAACATTCAAAATTATTAGAAGGTAAGTGAAGTGTTTTCTGGAATAGGTGTTTGCCATTACTCGGCAATCATAGCACAGATTGGCGACTGAAACGACGTTTTTTAGAATATATACAGGATTTGTGATGGAAGCATGTACCGTATCGCTTCACTTTGTATAATCTGCTGCCTTCGGCCTTTTCTCGCCATTCATTGGCAACTCCGTTGTTGATAGCTTTGGTCCAAAGAACGTTTGCTGGCCGTTCCTCCGTTACTTGACCGTCCACAGTCTGAAAACAAACACGTGAAATTTGAATACGCGATGCTGGCGGTCGAATTTTTCATTTAAAACTTTTGAAACGCGAAGAGCGGTTGAAGAATGGCAACGTTTAAGGTTTCGATGGATTAGTCATCTATTTGACAAACAATAGCGTAATGTTAAGGAAAAACTGAATATCACGAAATTGAAGAAAAAAATGAAAATTTACTTTTCTTCCATCCGAACGATAAGATACCACTGGTCGTTTTCTTGTCTGGAACAGAGTGAGTTACTCGTAATGATCTGTTTTTTGCTTTTCTGTCTCTATTTCCGGCATCGAATGTCATCACTTTATGAATTTTCAAGAAATAGTTATAAGATAGAAACGAACATTTGTGAAAACTTTCTGCTCGCCTTCACGAGCTGGTCCCTCATGGAATTCATCCAGTGTGGCAGCTTCAATGGGAGAATTGAATACGTTTATCATGATGTGCTTGCTGAGGCGGTTGTGGATTTTGTATGTTATTCCTTTCAATTATTGATATCCTGTAGAATGTAATGATTTAGAGGAGGAACATGAATGGCAAACAAACGGGGGGTAAGAGACGAATCAAGTTCAGTCAATCAGTCAATCAATTGAATATTGTTGTTGCTTTGTCTCCTCTTCAAAGTAAGTCCGTTGATGAAAATGGTAATGACTGTTATCATAAATAACGTCCAATCTGATTGTTGCAACTATATGTACTTACTTCTAGTTTGACAAGGCTTTCCCTGAAAATAAGGACAAGCGTTACATATTTCGAAATGATTTACAGAGATGGCGAAAGCAAGACGGACATTTATCAAATCTGATGATGAACTATGTATTCTGATCTGTTCGAGATGTCTATATAGTTCGAATGATTGATGAAGAGGTAAAGGGTAACTGATGAGAGATGGATGGATGGATGTATAGTTCGCAGCAACTTCTAGACGCTACATGGCTACTACACAAATTCATTTGCATGCGATGAGAAATCGGCGATGGCGAAATAAGTTTCTTCAAAAATTCGATATCATTTAAAAAGGAAAAAATACGGTGAATCATTCTATTCTTTCAGAAACACAATGAGCGAATTGAAACATCGATGGTTGCGGCAGACTGGCCAAGAAAAGTCTGTTAACAGTGATTGTGAAGTGACAGACATGACAAGACGCGTGACGTCGTGGGCAGAAGGGTTGGGAGGAGAAACAGTAGAAACGTGTCTTTTTTTTCTTTTTTTTTTGTCTTCGACTTTTTAATTCTCTCTCTCTCTCTCTCTCTCTCTCTCTCTCTGCCTGTCCATCTGTTACTCTTCTTCAGTAAGAATATTATACTTAATATGGTTAACCATCCCATAAGGCAGAAAAAATGTAATGATGAGCCAGCGAACACAATCGTTGCAACAAAAAATTGTATTGGAAGAGAGGGGGGGGGGGAGATGGTGAACACGGACAGGAGGTTGACTGACTCGTTACATCAAATATTGAAGGAAATCGGAAGATTCATTTGGGTTCCAATGATTCAGTTATACAGATTACGTGAACATTCCAGCTTTTTTGGGGAAGAGAGAGGGTTGGTGGGATGAGAGAAGATCTATGCAGCTTTCTCACTTGTAGTAAAGCTGTATTGCTGTAGATAGATAGAGAGAGAGGGGTGGATAAAGAGAGAGAGAGAGAGAGAGGGGGATGTATAGAGAGAGAGAGGAGTGGATAGAGAGAGAAATGAAATTCTTAAATGATTTGATTTGTTCAATGAGGCGAAACAAACGAAAGAGAGCGTATAGATGATTTGTAATTAAATGAAAATGATCAGAGATAAATATGGAAAAAGGTTTAAGATAAATTCCTTTTATGGGAATGAGTCATTAGTTTACATATATGGATGGTTTCATTTTTTCTGTTAAATTAATCGGTCATTTTCAGGAATCTTCTTTGCATGTCAGATGTTGGAGTGATATTAGAGTTGACATGAACGATTTTTCCTATTATTCTGTATTAAACATTCCTTCAATTCTTTCATTCATTTTCATGTCAGTCAATCGTCAACTAACCTTTTTTCTTCAACAAGTTAGAAGAATTGGGTGCGATTTCATTGCAAGTTATCCCCATCTCTTTCTCATTTTCTAAATATTCGTCTACAACCCTATGCACATCATCATCATCATCATCGCTTCATCGCCTACGCATCTACTACAGCATACCGCACAAGATGATCTTCTATGTTGCTCTCTCTCTCTCTCTCTCTCTCTCTCTCTCTCTCTCTCTCTCTCTCTCTCTCTATCTTGGCAACAACTTTATTCTACAAAAAACATTCTTACCTTACATACTTCATAACAATTCACAAGTAATAGTGAGAACGTCCTCTCACTTTTCACACTTCTCCTTTTTGCCTTACAAGATTCCATGTTTACACATACAGATGGATGGCAGCACGTAGCAAGCGAATGAATCAAAAATTAAACGAAAAAAACAATTGTGGGGTTTTCATAATGATCATCTTGTTTAAGGAAGTAGCAAAGAGTAGAAGAACGTTAACACTGTTTATCTTTTGCTCAAAGGCAATCAAAAACAGAAAGTGTGAACATGCAACAACAGAGTAATCATTGATCAAATCAGCGAAGCTTGACCCAATCGAAATTTCCCCGTTTGACTACTGTGTCTCACATCCACGCAAGATTCATTTAAACATCCGGTAGCTTATTTGTAATTGGAAATCATTCTGTGTTGAGCAGAGAGAACATTCTTACGAGTAGCAGCAGTGCTGCTCTCTTCAAATGGTTTTGGTTTATTTCGAAATCGTTTTACCAACTACACAGGTCAATTGATTAGGCAGAGATAATGAAGCGAATTTCTGAGCGTGTAGGAATGAACTCGACACAAAGAGATCGCAACATGGTTTGTTGCCAAGCTTGAGCTTCAAAATCAGAAGATTCTGGGAATGCCGAGGTGAGTATTCACAAGTTCGGTACGGAGATCGGTTTTGTGAAAATCAAATTACTCTAGCTTTTCGTCATCAGAGTTACCCGAAATAGTTCTAACGAAACAGTTGATTGTTCGTTATTGCATTCCCAGAAGCTTCTTCATCTGAAGTCCAGGCAAGGCAACTAACCATGTTGCGATCATTTTGAGTCGAGTTGATGTCGATACACTCATGAAGTTTTTGCAACAAATCAACTGTCAATTGTTGTTCTGATGCCATGGTGACGAAGTCAATTTTTCATTCCCAGAATCTTCCCAACTTGAAGCCCAGGTGTGGCAACAAACCCTGTTGCGATTGTCTGTTGAGTTAATTTCTACAGGCTCAGCGAATTGCTCCGTTATCTCTGACTAATCAACTTTCAACTTTCTTTCAAGAACATTTAATTATACATCACGAATGTCAATGTTTCCATATATGTTCTCACCGGACGTGTATGTACTTCAACCAGACGGTAGGTGCTTTTAAGAGATAGTAGACAAGCCTTGAACCTGATAATAAAATAGATAATCGAATAAAAAACAGCCAGCTGTAGTTTTTCATTATCAATTATTTTGACTAAGTTATCATATCTTTATCAGGAGTGTCTCGGTCACTCGAAGAATGACCAGACTGAGACTGACCAGACCAGACAAACTATTCTTATCTTCTGCTGAATAATCTTATCTATGTGTCATTTTTGGAAACATATCATAACAATGAAAAGTGGCAAAGTTATGATTCAAATTTATGCGGATCCCATTGACTATATTGATAATTACATGATAATGATACTTCAAAGAAGTCTATCTACTGCAGAGACGATAGTTTGTTAGAAAAATACATATTATTCCGCGTATGTGGTTCCAGTAAGGGCTGTTAGTAATGATGGCTCATCTCTTCATTCTCAGAATCGTCTTCATCCGATGAGTTCGAAGAGGTTAGATAATTGCAAAAGTCGTTGCAATCCTCGGCATTGCATAAAGCCATGTTCAAGGTCATCTCAATGCTTTCGTCGACGGCCTTTAAGTAATCTTCGAGAGAAGTGTTGAATGATTGTTCCGTTGACATGGTGAAGCTGAAAGCTGAAGAAAATAATTTTTTAAGAGCTAATGAAGACGAGGAACTTACTCTTTGAATTAGAGGACTGCTGTGAAATTCCGAGAGTAAGACCCCGTCTTTTATAACCATCTTCTAAGTCATAAATACAAAATATGGAATATATACTATTTTATTTTGCTACCGATAAGGTTTATTTTAGTGATAAAATCATAAGGAAAAATGACAATCGTTGTATTTGTGACTTCAAAATTATCGACTCTTACTGATACCACATACGCGGAATCGTCTGTACAGTAGACAGACTTCTTTGCAATCAGAGTCAGAATTGTTCATGCACTTGATTCAGTTGTTGGAAGCAGCCAAACAGAACCTAAGCCTTTTTAATAAATAATTTGAAAGTTTGGAGAAGATATATTCAAATGCCTGCGATGCACAACCGATTTCAAAGATGAAAGAGACGAAAATCAAATACGCGCTTTGGATTATGTTTTGCACCAACTCAATGGAGCACCACCGGATGTTCAAAACGAAAAAAATAAAAAGTGTACGACACGTGGGATTCCCAAGCCGTTTCCGATCCAAGTACTAACTATCCCCCACTTTGCTTAGACAATTTAAAAAATGGCTTCAACAGCATAACTTCAATGAAAGAGTCATCGTAAACAGTGTTCATAATTTATCTTCGGTTGATTATTGATTTACAAAGTCAATCAGATGTTGGCCAATATTCAAAAGATCTTCCATTCGTCTGCTAATATACTTCTGTTGTCAAATTAGCTTTATTGAGGATGGTCGGCAAATGATTCTGTATATGCCACGATGAATAGATTTCGATTCCTCATAAGGTTGCTGGGGTGGTCAACTGCTGCTAGTTGTACGGTGAACACTGATTTGAACAGAAACTGTCTGTGGTTTGACATTCATTAAGCGATTGGTAAGTCTCCCGGGCAGAACTGAATGTTCATTTGATTTGTTGGAAACATACTGAACCTCACTTGATACGCATATTTCATTCAAACGGTCTTTATAAGCAGGGACGAGCCTCAACATTAGGATACAAGCTATCAAGGGGCTTATGCTCAGCATGAGAGTAAACACCTTTGGCAAAACTGTAACAATATTGAAGCCTGCAGAAGATAGTAAACTAACTTAACGAGGGCACGGAGTACAGAACACAAAGATAAAGCCCGATAGGAGGTACGACTAACCCCATTGCTTGAAAGAAGCTCTGTAAACTTATACTTAATCAACGTACAAACCATACTCTTACTATCTTCATAATATCTAACGTCAGGCTGCGTTGATTTTCCCGATATGTTGATGAAGATGCTCCAGCACTGTGTCTTCGCACACTCCATATGAGATATAAAGTGATGAATAATGCGATTATCACATAAACACTGATTGAAGCTGTGAAATAACGAACAACAAATGCTATAAAATCATCATCTTCGATGCTCACGACAAGCGTTCTCGACAGGAACAACTCTGGTGGAGGGCTGTTGTTGAACATCTGAAAGTGGCAGGGCATAGGAGTCATCTTCGTAAGAGATCACTTACCTCAATACACGAAAGATAACCATTTTTAGGAATTTCTATATTCTCCATAAATGCTACACATGTGGCTTGATGAATAACAACCAAAATACAGAAAACGCTTATTATCAGCGTTTTTCGTCGTTCCGTCAGAAAAACCGAAAGAGCTACAGCTCTCATCAGGTTTATGAGCAAAATAAACAATCCTGCTACTACAATAGAACGGAATTAGAGTTGAAGCATAACTGGAGTTGTCACCTGCAAAAAGGCACCCTATAATGTAAATTTCTGTGAATGGGTCCATCCCGAGACTAGACAGAAGTCCATTGCTATAGACAGCGAAACACGGCAGAAGGAAGATGGGGATGCTACCGCCAGAGAGATATATTTGAAAAAGGCAATTTCTTTGAAAAAAAAAGTTTTCTGTGATAGAGTTTCAGCCGTCTTACGCGAAGCAGTTTCCTATTAGAGCTGCCCGGAACATAGTACTCATCTTGGTAGGAACGACGAAGAATATATACATTGACAATACTAAAGTGAATATCCCAAGCAAGGAAAGAATTTGCAAAACTGTCACAAAGCTATCCATAGCTGCTGGTCTTGAACAGCAGCTGTAGCTGAAGAACTCAGCGAGCCAAATGGATTCTCAAGCCATGCATGTTGAAACTTGTCTATAACACACGAAAACAGTTCCTACGTGTATGGTCTGCCCAGATTGTAGTATTCACGCTTTTTTTGTTCATAAACACAAAATAATATATAATAATCACTAAAATTATAGATCAAAGATGGCTACATATTTCCGTTTCATATCTCTCGATCTGTTTCAGAATGGAAATTTCTGTAAACTGGAGATGGTTTAACAACAGTAGAGGGTCAACATGATAGTCGACATGATTGACTGGAGCCTAGCATTTACTGGGTAACTTGATAATTAAAAGTTCAATTTCCTTCAGTTGCTCCCCCATTTTGGTAGTTTTCGAATATCTTGACCAGATGAGTACCGATTGAGGCTTTTGTGTTCCAACTCCGTTAGCGTACAAGCTGTAGCTGATGATCTGAATAATAGACCGCACAATGTGGTTTCATACCTTCCCCTTGTTAATTTTTATCATGTTTTTGCTTTGTTTTGTCATAGTAGAAGGTGATTTAGAAAGTGAATATTTTCATTCGGGAGGAAATGATTGAACTCAGTGAATCCTAACGCACGTTTTGAAGCTTATTTGATACGCAATGTTGCGTCTGTGCGAAGTAGACTGACTATAGGTCGCACTTTCAAGAAACTGACCCGGAAACTTGAGTTAAGATCTCGTGTTGAACTTCTTTGAGATGTCCGGAATTCGACTTTTCAATTCTATCAGACTGCTTAATACGGTGAGAGCCTCAACAGTTCTTCTTCCATATAATGCTACTCATATACATACTTCCTCTGTTTGTTCGAAAGTGAAAAAGAATGACAAAAACAAAAAAGTTGGTTTTTCACTGTTTGGTTTAATGATGAAAGGTCTATTAAGGGAACCCAAGCGGTCAAAACAGCTAGCATAGCTAACTCTGATAATGTATATTTGATAGATGCTTTAGGAGAAATGAATGACATAGTAGATATCCTAGGTGAAGAATTGGCTAAACACTTTTCCATCCAGGTATTCAGTTAGATTCAGAAGTTGTCATCGTTCTGCTCAATGGATTTAGGTAGACTTACGACTTTTCGAAGATATCATGGTGAAATTAGAAAAAGGAGATGTAAACCCTCTCATCCTACTGAAACTTTCATGAACTTTTTAAGGAACACAAAATGTCTCATCTGGGTCGTGTAACTCTGAAATCTCCTCAAATGGTTATGATCAACTTCGCTAATAATCCGAACGCAATCAAATGGGCAAAACTAGCACTACAAGTTTACTAAACGTTGATACTCCGGTTACAATCCTTGTTTAGAAATCTACTCTCAATGTTAATCCCCAACACGAAGGAGTGGTCCTATACATTCCAACTCCGAGAATGACTAGAGAAAGACGTGAGCAGCTAGCTCATGAAGCCAAAACTAAAATCTTCAACGAATTTAAACAAGCCCTTAATGCGGTACGTAGTTCTTGCATCCAAATGAGGATTAGCATGATTGGTTTCAGGTTTTCACTAAGTATGACAAGAAATGTTCACAACAAACGTCACAAGCTGATACCATTAAGCTTACTCGCCAACAACTTCTGACCCTCAAACGTGGAATGGAAGATAAAGGATCGCAGATTATTGAAGCCAAACGACAAGACTTGCTCAAGGAAGTAGCTTGATCCAAATAGAACACAATGTAGATGCGGGTTATGATTTATGGAACCGTGTTGAGAGTAACAATAAATAATTTAAATGGAACACCAGCTACAAAAAATGAACAACACGTTTCGAATTACCGGACTTCAATACAAGTGGTCGTCTTTAGAAGTTCACGTCTGGGAGATGTCGAATTCCGTTCTTGTCAACGATGAGAACCTATAGACATCGTTCATAAACCATATTCGCTACTTGAACCTACCTTATATCCTGGAATATTAGCAACGAAGCGTTTCTTGGCTTCAGCGATACATTTGTTCAGGAGACCCAATCCTTCGTCTTCAGACATACCTGTATGAACACTCTAATTACCTTTCATAACTTATTCCCTCATACCTTTTTTGTATTCTCTGTCCATAATAGCGTAGCAGAATCTTCCACAGAAACCACGGAATAAATAAGGCTGAAGAAATAGTAAAAGAGATCAGAAAACTTTGAATTACCTGTTGTGGTAAACCGTTACCAAGATAATCAACTGAACCCAAGAAAGCTTTCTTCTCAGTGTCATCATATCCTCCGAGAAGCAGATCGACATAGTAAGATTCCTGAAACGCTTTCAATTCGGACTGTTACTGGGGAGGAAAGTCATACTCTAGATCGAAGTCCTTTGGAAATACCTCCACGGATCCAATGATGAGCGGCTTTAGGTGACAGCTCATATCCTATCAAAGATATTTAAAAAAAAACAAAAAAGAAAAGTGAAAAACCATTTCTAATGGAATACAATTGAATGTTCCTCTTAACCCATTCACCGAAATGGTCAACATCTCCATCTTCACCAATGCAAATCATTGTCATCTTTTTTCCCAAACGGAACTCCTTGTCATTATCTAATAAAGTAACAAATGATGAGGTATATAACTAATGAAGCATACCAGTATCAGTGAGGATAGCTCCATAAGAGAAGGAGGCTTTGTCAGCTGCGAGAATGACATAGTCGTCCGTAGATATTCCTACGAGAAAGTGCATACCACCAGCCATTTTCTTTTCTTAATTAAACAATTATTATAAAATGTAAATTGCAAACAAATCTCCTGCGAAGATAAAATAAATAACCAAGAAAACATTCTACTAACGTTCAAATCTTACAGGATGATTTCAATAATTCTTCCAACGGGGGTAACAAAGTGACGTTGTAAACAGCGTGCATAGACAGAGAGTAAGTAAATAGCTAGTCGGGATAGTTTTCAAAGAAGTTTTGAAGTTTTTCATGTTCATATGGCAACAGGCTTTTCGCACCATTTTTTTCATGAAACCCTTTGAGCATAGTTCCAGTACCTGGCACTGTTTATCTACGCCGTGAGCAAAGACGGAACGATGTTTGAGATACAACGAAAAGGATCTTACCCTATACCGGATAGGAGCAAATAGTTTCGAGCAATTCCGGGTAGTATATAAGGTCTGCCATTCGGTGACAAAGGTATCTGCTCTCACAAGCATCTC